AGCCTGGGTGCTTATTACATTGGCCCATACAGACTACTTCTCTCATCATCCACCCAACATTGTAAGCCCTTTGAAGACAGAGGCTGTTTTGCTCATTTTTAAATTGCCTTCCCACTCAAACAAACAACTAACATATGAGTCAGTAAATGTTTATTGAATTAATAAATACCACCCCCTCCTCTTGATGACTTGCTTTCAAAAAACGAACTGTATGCTCTACCATGACACCATGTAGAGCTCATTTTGCAGACCCTGGAAAAGAAACTGAGCAGAGTCTTTACCAAATAAAAAACATTCGAGCCACTGCTGCTAACAATATACTGAGTAATGGTAGATGCCACAGCCTAATTTTAAAAGTGCTCCGGCTAGCTGTTGTCTTCTTCTAGAGTTGTCAAATAAAATTTTTCATGTCTCCTATGTTGGGAAACATTGGGTAGACTCAGCTTAAGGGGAATTCCAGGCTTAGTACCAATTCATCACCAGTAAATCAAGCAAGGCTCATGAATCTAACACATAGAGAAGGAAGACAGCAGAGTTGACACCAAGCTGGGAGATCAGCAATATTCTCAGGGAGAGAGGCAGGGGCAAACTTCCAGACCCCAAAATTCTCACTTAGAGCAGTTCAGAGTTAGAGATGATAATACCTGAGAGGGAAAAGGGTAACTTTAGAAAGCGTACATGCCCCTCCACCTCTAAGCCAAACCCAACTTTGCACATACAAGGCTATAGCAGTTCTTCACATAAGCTATTTTGAATGTGTTCCAAGGACCATCTCACCTGAGTCATTTGTGTCTCATCAGTCAGTTACACAGCACACAAGGTGAGTATAGGATAAATAGAGTTTTCTATATTCAAGTGTGAGCCAAGTTTTCATTGACCAAGCTCAGTTTCCCCAGAAAGTACAATAGGGAATAGTGCAAGGGTCAGTTATCCAGATGTATCTGAAAGTTGTAAAGAAGTTCACGCATTATTCATTATTCATTATTATTTTCATTATTCATTATTATTATTATTCATTATTTCCCAAAGAAGAATAATCATTTTGAGGTTTCTGCTTCTGGTCAAGATGGAGTAACCAATTGACCCTTCTACCTGAAAACTCTTCAAAATGGACAAAATATATGAAACAATGATTTGCAAGACATGGGACCTCAGGGAAAGGACAGTCGCCCCTGAGAGGTGAAGCGTGCCCTATGATTGCCCCGACTGACTTCCTGGGAAGTATCCAGACCATGGATATAGAGAGAGCCCACCAGCCTCTCAGCTGTTCATGGGAGAAGTCTCACTGAGGCACGTTACACTGCACAACTGGCTGAGGAGGGTGCCCAAGGAAGCTAAGGCTGGCGGGTACCAGAGAAGCTGGCAGTAGAGAAAGTATACACATGAAGGCGTCTGGCGCCGCCGACCCCGTCTGGGCACTGGGGCAGCCCAGCCACACGGGCCTCAGGAGCCAGACGCTATAGAATCTGCCAGCGTCACTGGGGTTGCAGTACCCACACCCTGGGGCACCACATCCCTCCTGCACTGCGGGAGCCTAGCTCTAGATCAGCCATGAGTCCTGCAAGGAGCCTGCCTAGCAAGCACACTGCAAGAAGGAAGAGAATGGGGAAAAAAAAAAATTGCTTCATTTTTACAATGTCTCTCTAGTGCCCTCTACTGACACGATATAACATAGTGCCTGTTGGCCAAGAAAAAATACATGCCTGAAGGGCCCGATACTAATTCTCTAAAAGCAGGCAGTAGAGGGTGAATTGGAACTCCATTCGTTTTATTTAGAAATTGACACAGAGATCCTAAATTTCATGTGGAAACACCAAGGACCTAAAATAGGCAAAACATTTTTGAAAAAGAACAAAGTTGGTAGAATAATGCTGCTTGATTTCAGAACAATTTAAAAGCTACAGTATCAAGACATATTGGTTGTGGTATTGGTATAAAGATGGACAAAATAGATAAATGGAACAGAACAGAGAATTTAGAAATAGACCCACACATATGTGGACAACTGAATTTTGACAAAATTGCCAAGTGGATAAATTCTACAGATGGTAGCAGGATGATTAGATATATTCATCCACACAACTGAAAAATAAACTCAGACTTATACCTCACAGAAAATATGCAAAAATTAGCTAAAAATAGATCATAACACTGAATGCAAAACTAAAAATAAAAAATTTCTAGAATAAAAGTGGTGAAATTTTTGTGACTTTCAGGTTTATCTATGATTTCTTAGATAAGACTCCAAAAGAATAAACTAATTAAAACCCACAAAAGAATAAATTGATGAATTTAAAATTTCTGCTCTTTAGAAAAAAAAAAAAACGTCTTCAAAGTTACTAATACTCTAAAGGGAAAGAAAAACAAGCCAGACTGGGGAAAAAATCTTTGCAAAACATGTATCTGTTAAAAATATTTGTATCTAGAATGTACAAAAAACTCTCAAAATTCAGTAAGAGAACAGAAAACTCAGTTTATAAACTTAGCAGAAAGTTTGAGCAGACACTTCATCCAAGTAGATAAATCACAAAGAAACACATGAAAAGATGCTAACATCCTTAGCCATTAGGGAAATGCAGATTAAAACAACAATGAGATACCATTACTCACCTATTAGAATGACTAAAATTAAAAAGACAGAGCTACCAAGTGTTGGTGAGGATGTGAAGGAATTAAAACTCTCATACTCAGCTATGTTTTCCACTTCAGAAAACAGTTTGGCAGTTTCTTAAAAAGTTAAAGGTACACCTATTATGTGATCCAATCATTTCACTCATATTTATCCAAGAGAAATAAGAGCATGTGCCCAGAGACAGACTTGTACACACATATTCATCACAGATTTATTTGTAATAGGCAAAAAAAAAATGGAAAGAATTCAAATGTTATTCAATAAATGAATTTTTTTAAGTTGCCTATGGTATATCCATATTCTACCCAGCAATAAAAAGACATGACATGAGCTATTGATTGCCACACTATGTGAGTGAATCTCAAAATAATTATGCCAAGTGGAAAAAGCCAGATCAAAAAAATCACACACCTTTTGATTCTGTTTATATAAAATTTTAGACAGTCCAAACTAATGTGTACTGTCAAAAAATATATTGGCAATTGCCAAGAGATAAGGCGGAAAGGATGGAAAACTACAGGAGAGAAAAACAAAAACACAAGATGAAACTTCTAGGGATGTTGGAAATCTTGACTATCTGGATTGTGTAATCGTTTCACAGATGTACATTATGTCAAAAATTATGGAACTTTACACTATAAATAAGTGCCAGTAGTATATCAATTATATTTCAATAAGGCCCTTTTTAATTTTTATTGGACTACAGTTAATTTACAATGTCGTGTTAGTTTCAGGTATACAGCCAAGTGAATCAGTTATGCCTTTATACATATCTACTCTTTTTTAGATTCTGTTCCCATATGATCATTGCAGAGTATTGAGTAGAGTTCCCTGTGCTGTACAGGAGGTCCTTATTAGTTATCTATCTTACACAGATTTTTGTTGTGTCAATCCCAACCTCCCAATTTATCCCTCCCCTGCATACCCCATGGTAACCATAAGTTTGCTTTCTACATCTGTGACTTTATTTCTGTTCTATAAGTAAGTTCATTTGTCATATGTTTTTAGATTCCATGTATAAGTGATACGTGATGAAAATCTCTAGGTTCATCCAATGTTGCTGCAAATGGCATTATTTTATTCTTTTTATGGCTGAGTAATATCCCATTCTATTATATATGTACCACATCTTCTTTTTTTTTTTTTAATTTATTTATTTATTTTTTTATCACAACCATAGTGTATCTTTTTTTTTTTTTTTTTTTTTTTACATGTATTCCCCATCCCGGTCCCCCCTCCCACCTCCCTCTCCACCCAATCCCTCTGGGTCTTCCCAGTGCACCAGGCACGAGCACTTGTCTCATGCACCCAACCTGGGCTGGTGAACTGTTTCACCCTAGATAATATACGTGTTTCAATGCTGTTCTCTTGAAACATCCCACCCTCACATCTTCTTTATCCACTTCTGTGTTGATGGACATTCAGGCTGCTTCCCTGTCATGGCTATTGTAAATAGTGCTGCAGTGAACATTGGGGTACATGTATTTTTTGAATTATGGTTTTATCCCAATATAAGCCCAGAAGTGGGATTGCTGGATCATATGGTAGTTCTATAGTTAGTTTTTTAAGGAACCTCCTTACTGTTCTCCATAATGGTTGTACCAATTTAGATTCCCACCAACAGTGTAGAAGGGTTCCCTTTTCTGCATACCTTCCTCAGCCTTTATAGATTTTTTGATGATGTCCATTCTGATCAGTGTGATGTGATATCTCATTTCTCTAGTATATTTCTCTAGTAATTAGTGATGCTAAATAAAGCTTTTTTTAAAAACAAAAAAGGATTATTCTTCCTTCCAAATTATCATCCAGCTGATTAACTTATGTATGTGACTGATTTTATAGTTTCAACCAAATAGACAAGTTAACGGAATGAAGATCTAATTAAGTGGGAAGCAAAAAGTTTACCCCTTGAGTCCATAAAAGAATGTACTGAAGACATCAATTGTGTTACTCAGAAAGCTAAAATAAATCCCAGTGAATAGTGTGACAATGCTGTGTAGTTTAATATCTTCAAATATACTGCCAACAATTCAGAAATCAGATAGAGAGAGAACCACCAGGATAAATTATTCTTTTTGTGAGGTGAACATACAGACTTTTCTACAGGAAAAGAAAAGCTGTCCTGTTATTCTAACAATGCAAACATACCTTCAACAAAATCGCCACCTTTTGGAGTGTTAATACAAAACTTTGAGTCCTCAAGTCTTAGAAATGACTTAGCAATTCAGAGTGAATTGTAAGAGTTTACTTTTTCTCACTTCTACTATGTCATAGTATTACAGAAATCTTTGCTTTTCACAACTGCTTTGATTCACAGCATGTTGACCTGGGTTTCCTCTCTTTCCTCTCATGTGTTGTGACATGCCAGATGTATCGTGAAGATTACTGGAGAAATGGTGTTGTCTTTTCCTGCCGGGATCACCAGACACTTTGCCAACAACCCATCGCCAGCTGCTCTGACTTTTCGGGTGATAAATTTCAGCAGGTTAGAACACGTCCTGCCAAATCCCCAACTTCTCTGCTGGTAAATATATTTTCCACAAATTTTTTAAAGATGTAGGTGTCTTACCATGTTTTTCTTAGATGAGAGATGTACCTTAGCAAGAGGGAAGCACTGTAGAGAAATTATTGTTATTCATATGTTTATAGATTGAATCCCAGAACTCTGTATATATCTGTGTATGTATATCTATGTATACATATATGCATATGTATACACATATATATTTTTTTAATGGCCAATTATCTCAAGTGGCTAAAGAGACATTTAGAGTAATAAAATTTATTCATTGTCTATTTTGCTTATCACTGGTAGACAACCGATGAGGAGGATGGGAAATGAGCAAAATAAAAGGAATAAAATCCATTTATTGTTTTGGCATCTTTTAAAAATCAAATGATATCTGAACTGTAAGCTATTCTTCATATAAGCTTAAAAATCTCTTTGTGAGACATGTAATTTCATTACACTGTAATGGTAATTGTTTTGATGGAACGTTACCTGTGTGGCATCAAAGAAGCTTTTCTAAATTTGTTTATATAAATGCATTTCACATTTCCTATTAAATCTGAACATGATGTTTTGTCATATATGTGCATATCCATGTTCACACAACACATACACACATACATACTATTAAAAGTGATCCACTATACATGTTTATTATTGGCAATGGATGAGACAAAGAGAAACATTCTTGGTAGTTTTTCCATCAACAAGTCCTGATATTCCATCTAAAATTCTATCTTTAAAATGGCCACTTTTTCCCTTTATCATGACTTCTGTCCAAATGATGACTATCATTTCCTTGGACCACAGCTAGTGCTTTCCTCTTCCCCTCTCTGCCTCCAGTCTTGCCCCACTTCTGTACACAATAGCCAGCTTTTTAGATGTAAATCAGGTTGTCCTCCCTTATAACCTTCTGGAGGCTTCACATTACAACTAGTGTACCATTACCTTCAAGGTCCTGATTCATCCACTCTTGCCTGTTTGTCTATCCTCATCTCCCACCATCCTGTTCGGAATCCTTGTAGCTGCAGCCATACCTGCCCATCTTGGAACTGGCTGAGTCCTTTCCCACATCAAAGTTTTGTACACTTGTTTACTCTGCTTTCAATAGCATTTCCACTCTTCTCCACCAGACTCGTACTCATCCTTCAGATCTCAGCTCCACTCAGCCTTGCCTGACCATCCCACTGTCCTCCCCACTCTCAAACTAAATCATGTAACCTTGTTATTCTCTCTCAAGATTCCTATTCTTTCCATTGTCAGACTTACTAAAACCAGTAATTATATATGTTTGCTTTCTTCATTCATCCACCTTCCCTACTAGACTATAAAACACATGAGGGAATACAACACATCTATTGGATCACCACCATATCCTCAGTACCTTCCACTGTCCCTAATAAGGACTTGAATAGTACTTGTTGAATGAATGAACAATTCAACTATAATTTAAAGTATTTTATCAAGCTGGATATTTATGAAGAAATAGCTAAAGGTCATTTGGAATTTGAGGGCCAATACAGTCACTCTCTTTCTTGGTTGCATGAGACTTTTTCACTCCAGTGATGGAAAAACAGTCATAGATCTTTCAGATGATGACTAAGATCACCTCCTTCTCATTGGTCTTTACAATGGTTTAACTGGTAAACCTGATTCCAGGCTTAAAAATATAAATGAAATGCTCACCTATGAAGTGAAAGATAAACATGAAATGGCCAAGATTGGAAATGAACAACTTTTAATTTTAGTTTCCCTGTGTGTTTTTGATGTGCACATTGAGTCAGTTAATTTTATTTTTCTAGGTTCCTCCATCAGTAATTAGGAATTGTGTGCCACTATTTCACCAGTTTGTTTGTAAATATCACTGGTGGGATAGTTGTAGTTTTTGCTGCATTTTTAGGCAGATATGTTATCAAATTCTTAGGTATATATATGTGAGTCAGAGTTTTATATTAATACTTCAGTCTTATGCATTGAATTAAATATCAGTCTGAGAATATTCCCGTTTGACAAAACACTATATAGACCCTTAAATTGTTTTTTAAATTAAACAAAAACTCTCATTAATTTGGACTTTATTAAATGTATTTGATGATTGTGTTAGGGCTGTGATTGCCTACATGTGTGCTCAGTCACATTCCACTCTTTGAGACCCCATGGATTGTAGTCCATTAGATTCCTCTGTCCATGTGATTCTCCAGACAAGAATACGGGATTGGGTTGCCATTTCCTCCTCCAGAGAATCTTCCACACCCAGGGATAGAACCTGTATTTCCTGCGTCTCCGGCATTGCAGGCAGACTCCTAACAGCTGAACCACCAGGGAAGCCCAGGGCTAGGATTGGTGACCCATTAGTCCTACAGCTTCTTTGGTTTTTGTTATACAGTGAAGCTCCACCACCCCTACTACCACACCTAGTTTTTAAAAGGCAATGGGACCCAACATTATTCTCAAATACAGCTCTCAAGACTCCTTTCATCTGTCATCTTAATCCTCTCTATTATCTTTACTGTAACATTTAGGTTACCAGCTTGGTCCCTGGAGACATTTAGGTTTACAATCCCTATGACAGGGACCAAACTGAAATTTACTTCTACTTCTCCCTTATGAAATGATTTGGTTTACAAAGGATGTTTAGGAACGATTATTAAACCAATTATGAGTCTAAAGAATTCTCAAGACTTCTTGAGCATTCAAGAATTGCATCTTTGTATAAGCTTTGGATTGCCAAAGCTTTCTTGACTGTTTATTAAAGCAAGTTTGCCTGAGGAATTATCATAGACATATGACTCAGCTTATTGTGTTGTTAAATATATAATTGAGATTTTTCAGTTATTCAGATTTACTTAGCACAACTTAATAAAATGTTGTTGTTGTTCAGTCACTAAGCTGTGCCTGACTCTGCAATCCTGTGGACTGCAGCACGCCAGGCTTCCCTGTCCTTCACTATCTCCCAGGGTTTGCTCAAACTCATGTCCATTGAGTCGGTGATGCCATCCAACCATTTCATCCTCTGAAACCCCCTTCTTCTCTTGCCCTCAATCTTTCTCAGCATTAGGGTCTTTTCTAATGATTTGGCTCTTCACATCAGGTGGCCAAAGTGTTGGAGACTCAGCTTCAGCACCAGTCCTTCCAATGAATATTCAGGGTTGATTTCCTTTAGGATTGACTGTTATATCTCCTTGTTGCCCACCTGGCTCTCAAGAGTCTTCTCCAGAACCACAGATCAAAAGCATCAATTCTTTGGTGCTCAGCCTTCTTTTTGGTTTGACTCAAATAACCATAGTTTATTAACATTAATAAAATAAAATGTTGCTGGATATTAATTCTGTATCTGTTTTGGTATAGTACAGTAAGACTGACCTGGGCTGTAATCCTGACCCTGTTACTTATTTATCTATTCAACCTTAAGTAAATTACTTAATTTTGGTGATCCTCTATTATTCTCGTCTCCTGCCTCCATGTATAGCTACCCCTCAAGAAGCTCTGGATAACTTGGATGTTTTAGATAACAGTGTAGACAGCCTTTATAAGCATCCTTAGCTTTAACTTGGCCAGGGGCAAAGACAAGGAGCCAAGGGTCTTTTCCATCCACTTCCTACCTGTCCAGAGTAATAGGACTTTGTTTTGTCCTCAACAGCCTGTATCAGGCACAACAGAACCATAGAGGTCTTGCTGATACTTGGGCCCTACAACCACTCTGGACCAGGATCATTTTTAAGGCTCTGATTATGTTTGACTTCCAGAGGCTGAATCTTAGAAATTTATGATTTGTCTTTATCACACCCTTCTGTTTTCTTATCCTCTAATTTTCTCTTTTTATAACATTCACTCATCTTTAAAAAAGAAGATCCTTCTTTCTTTGCAGGGTAGATATTAGTGAATGAGTTTATAGCATAGATAACAGAGCGCCTAGCACATAATAGATGTTCAAAAAATTCTAACTACTGTTATTTTATTCTACAGGATATTCTGAAAGTGAAATGTCAGTAAGTTACTTAGACACTTGGGCCCTCAATTTCCTCATTATGCAGGAAGTAAGCAAATGCTTTTCACAGTCTTGCCTGATTCTTTTGCCATTGAGGCAAGCATTTTCAAGAAACATCAGGGGAAGCTATCAACTCCCCTAGGGATACAAAACTCATTTAATTCACCAAGACTGCACTCTCTAGTATAACTGCCATGGTTATTATCATTTAAATTCCAAGACCGTCTTGTTAGTGATGTGACTTTGTATGATTTAGATGCTCTTAGATGAACTACTGTGAATATTAAAAAGGGAGCATGATAATTTTAGTAACACACTTTTCTCCTCAGTTGGAGACAAAGAACGTGTTTACTTATAGCCAAATATTTAAATCAGTAATTTCTGAGAATCTACTGTTGAAGTAAATTCAAAAGAAAATCAATGTATATGACTCCTTTGACTGCATTAACTGACTAATTTAGAGGAAACAGTGGTGATGTGTTAGAGCTATTAAATTTGGGTTAATAAATAATTCACTCTTTGAAGCAACCATTATTCATTCTTTGAACCAATCATTATCATTATGATTGGTTAATATCACTGGTACTCCTTGGGATTTACAGCAATACAATAATGCCTCACTATGGGTATTTATGGGCTTGCCTGGTAGCTCAGATGGTAAAGAATCTGCCTGCATGCAGGAGACCTGGGTTTGACCCTTGGAGTCCCCTGGAGAAGGAAATGGCAACCCACTCCAGTATTCTTGCCTGGAGAATTCCTTGAGGAGTCTGGTGAGCTACAATCCATGGGTTGCAAAGAGTCGCACATGACTAAGTGACTAACACTTTCACTTTCGTGGGTATTTATTAAGATACCATTCAGGACTGCAACTCTACTATTGTTAATAATAGTCTGTATAAATTCTCAAAGATTGAGACAGAAATCAGATGATAATTTGCTAAGATGCTTTTTTTGTGTTTTGTGTTTTTCACAAGATGCTACTCAATCAGTTTTTCTTCCCAATTAAATAGCGATAATACCCAAAATGATGCCAGTGCCAAGGAATTCTGGGTAAACATGCCAAATCTGATGACTCACCTAAAGAAAGTGTCGGAACAAAAACCCCAGGCTACATATTATAATGTGGACATGCTCAAATATCAGGTAAGACTATTTATATGGTCAGGGTGTCTCTTTCATATTACAAATGTATATTCATTCTGTCAACTTAAAAAAAATGTACAATATGAGAGTTATGAGTCAAGTTTTAATTGGGGCAAAATTAGAACTATAGCCTTGGAGGCAGCATTTCAGATAGCTCTGAGAAATTGTTCCAAAGAAGTAGGAGGGAAGTCAGTATATATGTGATATATATATATATATATATATATATATATATATGGTGAAGAGAAAGTACATGCAATTAAACACATTTTTTTTGCAGGTTTCTGCTTGTCTCATGAAGGTTACTGCTAGTCATGAGGAGCAGATATCACCATGAAGGATTTTAGTGCTTTTCTAGATATGAGGAGAAGAACTGGTCTCATAAAATAAGCTCCAGAAAATATCTAACTTTCTGAAAACCTGTTCTGCTGGTTTTTCCCAGAGCACTAAGTGCCTCATTTGTGCTCTCCACCCTAAACTTCTTTCAGGGGCTGTTGAAAATCAGCAGTTAAAGCAGCACATGAATTAATCCTTGTAAAGGTAGAAGGCAAGTGCCAATTTGTAGTTGACAATTCTAGCATACTTAACATTAAATAAAAGTAAAGTAACACTTCTTTAAATATTATTTAAAAGCCATAATCTATAAGAATATAGAGATCTCAAAAGGCTGTGTAAAGGCTATTTAGAATAGTCATACATTATTTGAAAATTACAAGTAAAAAAAAAAATTATTCAAATTTAGGGAAACATGCCACAAAAATGAATTTGCAGAAAACTACATCAATTAAGATTCAAAATAGATTCAATAAGATTCAATAGATTCAATAAGATTCAAAATTCAATATATTGACAAAATAGTATACTGTAATTTTGTTAAGGAGGCTTCCCAGGTGGCAGAGTGGTAAAGAATCTGCCTGCAATGCATGAGACATGGGTTCAATCCTTGATTCGGGAAGCTCCCCTGGAGAAGGAAATGTCTACCCACTCCAGTATTCTTGTCTGGAAAATTCCATGGGCAGAGGAGCCTGGTAGCCTACAATCCATGGGGTCACAAAGAATCAGACACAACAGTTGCTAAACAAAATTTTGTTAAGAATATTACTGTACTAAAATCTGTTATTTTAAATGATTAAATGTAAGTTGAATTTTTTTATAATGTGATAGTCCCACAAAATAAATTCTAATGAAACTTATGTTAAGAAATAATTTAAGGTTAACATTAACAAATTAAAAGATAAAAACCACATGATTATCTCAATAGACTCAGAGAAAGCCTTTGACAAAAGTCAACATCCATTTATGATAAAAACTCTCTGGAAAGCAGGCATAGAAGGAACATACCTCTACATAATAAAAGATATATATGATAAACCTACAGCAAACATTACCCTCAATGGTGAAAAATTGAAAACATTTTCCCTAAAGTCAGGAACAAGACAAGAGCGCCCACTCTCATCACTACTATTCAACATAGTTTTGGAAGTTTTAGCCACAGCAGAGAAGAAAAAGAAATAAAAGCAATCCAGATTGGAAAAGAAGAAGTGAAACTCACTGTTTGCAGATGCCATGATCCTCTGCACAGAAAACCCTAAAGATACCACCAGAAAATTACTAGAGCTAATCAATGAATATAGGAAAGTTTCAGGATATAAAATTAACACACAAAAATTCCTTGCATTCCTATACACTAACAGTGAGAAAACAGAAAGAGAAATTAAGGAAACAATTCCATTCATCATTGCAATAAAAAGAATAAAATACTTAGGAATAAATTTATCTAAAGAAGCAAAAGACCTATCTATAGAAAACTATAAAACACAGATGAAAGAAATCAAATATGACACAAATAGATGGAGAAATATAGCATTTTCATGGATCAGAAGAATCAATATAGTGAAAATGAGTATACTACCCAAAGCAATCTATAGATTCAATGCAATCCCTATCAAGTTACCAACAGTATTTTTCACAGAACTAGAACAAATAATTTCATTAATTTGTATGGAAATACAAAAAAACTCAAACAGCCAAAGCAATCTTGAGAAAGAAGAATGGAACTGGAGGAACCAATCTGCCTGACTTCAGACTATACTACAAAGCTACAATCATTAATACAGTATGGTACTGGCACAAAGACAGAAATATAGATCAATGGAACAGAATAGAAAGCCCAGAGGTAAATCGATACACCTATGGGCACCTTATCTTTGACAGAGGAGGCAAGATTATACAATGGAGAAAAGACAATCTCTTTAACAAATGGTGCTGGGAAAACTGGTCAACCACCTGTAAAAGAATGAAACTAGTATACTTTCTAACACCATACACAAAAACAAACTCAAAATGGATTAAAAATCTAAATGTAATACCAGAAACTATAAAACTCCTAGAGGAAAACATAGGTAAAACACTCTCTGAAATAAATCACAATAGGATCCGCTATGACCCACCTCCCAGAGTAATGGAAATAAAAGCAAAAATAAACAAATAGGACCTAATTAAACTTAAAAGCTTTTGCACAATGAAGGAAACTATAAGCAAGGTGACAAGACAGCCTTCAGAATAGGAGAAAATAATAGCAAATGAAGAAACTGACAAAGAATTAATCTCAAAAATATACAAGCAGTTCATGCAGCTCAATACCAGAAAAATAAATGACCCAATCAAAAAATGGGCCAAAGAACTAAACAGACATTTCTCCAAAGACATACAGATGGCTAACAAACACAAAAAAAGATGTTCAACATCACTCATTATCAGAGAAATGCAAATCAAAACCACAATGAGATACCATCTCATGCTGGTCAGAATGGCTGCTGTCAAAAAGTCTACAAACAATAAATGCTGGAGAAGGTGCAGAGACAAGGGAACCCTCTTACACTGTGGATGGGAATGCAAATTAGTACAACCACTATGGAGAACAGTGTGGAGACTCCTTAAAAAACTGGAAATAGAACTGCCATACAACCCAGCAATCCCACTGCTGTGCATACACACCGAGGAAACCAGAATTGAAAGAGACATGTGTACCCCAATGTTCATCGCAGCATTGTTTATAATAGCTAGGACATGGAAGCAAGCTAGATCTCCATTGGAAGATGAATGGATAAGAAAGCTATAGTGCATACACACAATGGAATATTACTCAGCTGTTAAAAAGAACACATTTGAATCAGTTCTAATGAGGTGGATGAAACTGGAGCCTGTTATACAGAGTGAAGTAAGTCAGAAAGAAAAACACCAATGCAGTATACTAATGCATATATATGGAATTTAGAAAGATGATAACAATGACCCTATATGGGAGAAAGCAAAAGAGACACAGATATAAAGAACAGACTTTTGGGCTCTGTGGGAGAAGGTCAGGGTGGGATGATTTGAGAAAATAGCATTGAAACATGTATATTACCATATGTGAAATAGATCACCAGTCCAAGTTCGATGCATGAAACAGGGCACTCAAAGTTGGTGCACCGGAACAACCCTGAGAGATGGGATGGGAGGGAGGTAGGAGGTGGGGATTCAGGATAGGAAACACATGTACACCCATGGCTGATTCATGTAAGGCAAAAATCACTGCTATACTGTAAAATAATTAGCCTATAATTAAATTAATTAATTTTTTTAAAAAGAAATAGTTTAAGGTTAAAAGAATATTTGGTATAATACATTACAGGATATGAGAACTTTCTTTCTATGTTTAGGATTGCCCTTTACCCCTTTTTACCCCTTTATCCTGTTTCAAAACAGGATTATACAGAGCCTGAATATCCCACTGATTCCCAGCCACTTGATTGCCTAGGTTATTTTTTGAGCATTGAAATTTTTGTGATTAAACATGCTCAAATTATTTTGCTTAAGATGAGGAATCTAAATTATTACTTTTGAAAGTTGTACTTTTTAATTGAAATCAGTACATCTCAAACATGAGTACACTTTAAAATCACCAGGGGAGTTATAAACAAATGCTGGTTCTGAGCTGGTCTTAATTATAGACAGACAGAGATATAGAGAGATATCTATATAAAATCTATTTATAGATAAATAGAGATGGAGAAGGCAATGGCACTGGCATTGGCACCCCACTCCAGTACTCTTACCTGGAAAATCCCATGGACGGAGGAGCCTGGTAGGCTGCAGTCCACGGGGTCGCGAAGAGTCGGACATGGCTGAGTGACTTCACTTTCACTTTTCACTTTTATGCATTGAAGAAGGAAATGGCAACCCACTCCAGTGTTCTTACCTGGAGAATCCCAGGGATGGGGTCGCACAGAGTCAGACACGACTGAAGTGACTTAGCAGTAGCAGTAGAAATAGAGATAGGGAAGAAGAGAGGGTTAGAGATAAAGATGACAGGGACTGAGATATCTTCTGGGCGCTGACACTCTCAGAGATTTTTTTTAATTAGTTCAAGATGTGACCAGTTCAGTTCAGTTCAGTCGCTCAGTCATGTCCAACTCTTTGTGACCCCATGAACCACAGCACGCCAGACCTCCCAGTGAGTCACCAACTCCCGGAGTTTACTCACACTCATGTTCATTGAGTTGGTAATGCCATCTAACCATCTCATCCTCTGTCGTCCCCTTCTCCTCCTGCCCTCAATCTTTCCCAGCATCAGGGTCTTTGAAAATGAGTCAGCTCTTCACATCAGGTGGCCAAAGTACTGGAGCTTCAGATTCAACATCAGTCCTTCCAATGAACACCCAGAACTTATCTCCTTCAGGATGGACTGGTTGAATCTCCTTGCAGTCCCAGGGACTCTCAGGAGTCTTCTCCAACACCATAGTTCAAAAGCATCAATTCTTCTGTGCTCAGCTTTCTTTATAGTCCAACTCTCACATCCATACATGACTACTGGAAAAACCATAGCCTTGACTAGATGGACCTTTGCTGACAAAGTAATGTCTCAGCTTTTTAATATGCTATCTAGGTTGGTCATAACTTTTCTTCCAAGGAGTAAGTCTTTTAATATCATGGCTACAAACACCACCTGCAGTCAT